CTCCAGGGTGGCATTCTCTGGGTGAAAATTAAAAGTGTATTTATTTGTAAGGTGATTAGCAGAATCTGTCATATAAACAAGCCTATCTACAATCTTATAATATTCCTTTGTAAATCTGCGAGAGCAGATCTGAAGCATTTCCAGAAGATGTAAGGAATATGCATTTTTAAAACATAGGAAACCAAGAGAATGCTTGCTATTTATAGGCATCGATGTAGTCGCATAATCAGGTGTGATCAAATTCATCTGAAACAAAGAAATATTAGGGATCCTTAATGTAAAAAGCAGGACCCTGGGAAGTCAGGAAAAGGAGGTCGCTCTATAACAGGGAAGTTCTTTAAGTCCATGTATATTTACTTTTATTCACAGGGTTAATTTTCCACTTTCCAATTCCACCTTAACCAAAAATATAAAACCTTACTCTTTAACCTGATTATTTAGCTACTTAGAAACATATCCAGAAGGTCATATCACTAACTATTCCCTATCTTCATATATGTAAATATATTTATGTTAAGGTACAAGAACATTGGAGAAACGCAGTGTCACTAGTGACACATGGGGGATTGCCTCCCCCTAAAGAACATTAGTAATTATTGCAACTAGCAAATTCCAGAACAGAACTATTATCTTCACATTGTTATGTCCTCTATTATGCTAAGTATTCAAATGCATTATGCTTTGGTTAATAAAGTGCTACATGAATGTAGCTTTTTAGTTAATTGACCCAATTTAAGAAGTAGCATCAAGTGCGTTTGTGACCCTTGGTTGTGTATTCTTGGCAACAAAAACAGAAACACCTAAGTTCTCAGGAGCATTAAGAAAAAACAAAAAGCAATCAGCTTAAAACACTCTCACACACAAAACCCTTCGTTACCATTCTTTGAATGATACTCAAAAGCAACTTTTTTTTTTAGTTACTGAAAACAATTATATTACCATATGAGTACTGCGGAAAAAAACTGAGTACTGAGTGAAAGTTAGCAACCAAAGTTTTTAATTTGTCTGTATTACTCACTGAACGATATTACCTACCAATTAATTGTAATTGATACTGGGAAGTAGCTACGAAGATTTACAATAAAGGGCATGAGAAAAAAAAACGCACTGTTAAATTCATAGGACTTCAGGGAACTCTTAATAATTATAATTCCATATATCTCTAAAGCATAGCATGATGGTAAGCACTTAGACACACATCTGGTTTCTTTAGTGCAATATGTAACTGTTCTATTAGTTTTAAATGATTATCTTGAACACTGAGAAGGAAACACAGGGTAAGAAGTCACAAGGCTAGTAACTGACAGAGCCTGCAGGGCATCTCAGGCCCTCTGACTCAGCCCGGAATCCTACAATACCTGAATGTCCAGAGAGCTGAGCTCCTTCCTCTTTGAGATTCCTGATACAACTAATGGAAGAAGGATTGGAATTTAATAATAAAAATGCTGACATGGCCTTATCTATAGCTGCCCAAATAGTACCATTATAATTATGCTTTATACATTTAGCATTATCCAAAAATTTACTACTTCTAAATCTTATTAATCAACACTTGGGTGCTTTGGTTGCCACAAATTACAAAGTAGTCTGCTTTACAAAAGCCTGAGATTTGCCAAACACCAAAGATCATATCTGTTGTAAGACAAAGTACATCCCAAACATTCAGCGTATATATTAAACAGACTAAAAGATTCTGAAATACAATCTTAAATTAATCCTAAAAGTACAGTTGTTCCTAAAGAATGTCTTATCTGTCATTTTAACATTAATGTGATTTGTTCACATACATTGCACATGTAATAAAATTTCATTTTAAATTTTTCTCTAAATTTAGGAATACTGTGATTACTTATCTGCTAAATCTCCTGACTTTGCTGAACCAACTGGTCAGGAGACAAAATTTGTACTTTGCAGATTTAGAAATGACATTTCTTCTTCTCTTTTTGAATATTTTCTAATCTAACTACATACCTTGGACTGACAAAATGGCCATAAAATAGAGAAATAGATATTATAATTTAAACTATTCACTGCCTTCATGTTTAAATGCTTGCCTATTAAGCAAAGCTTTTTATTATTGATTTGTGAGTTACTTAAGAAAAATGCCATAACCTGCCTCGGTTACATAATCCTCATCCAAAAGAAAGTAACAGGTTATAAAGTACCATTAAAATGATTGAAACTGTCTTTCCTAACGTGAATATATGCAGTCTCCAACTAAAAGGATAGCAATTACACGCATATGTATGTTTCAAGGCCAGTGTCTTTTTTTTTTCTTAAGAGACTTCTTTTCCTTCTAGTATTATTTTCATCCACTACTGAGTGTCTAAAAGCTCAAGAATATGCCCTCTTTGGTAACATATGTGTGGCTTATGTCAGAAAACAACTGAGGAAGTCATTTTAAAATATTAAAATAAAGACTACAGGAAAACTCAATGCAGACTGTATTTCTGCACATAGTTGGAGACGAACAGCCTGGAAGCACCCGTAGTGTTACCCTGACCCCTGAAGGAAGGAATCAGGAGTTAACTTCACATCCAATTTCCTACACAATATGAACACCTCCAAATCCACTGGCACAATATATCAATGTTTGGGCATGTCCTACAGAAATAAAGTCATCTCAAATATTGGAGCTCAAAATTTCATTCCACCATTCCACCATTCTGATTTGGAGTAAGCAGATCTTTTCAAAGTTACTTAGTGGATGTCGAGATACTGCACCTGACTCCACAGGAAAAACAGAAAGAATCATCTCCATGATAGAAAAGTCATTTCACCTTTTTTTTTTTGGAGGGGGACATAGAATAAATGTAAAGGGAAATAGGAAACAGCACAACTAGATGATAAGATGATTTAATTCAACAGGGTTAGGATTTCAGTAGAGTTTCATTTTGAGGGAGTATATAACATCTATTGAGAGAAAAACAGATCTGAAAACAGGAGAAGGCCAAAAGGAGCTGATGTGTTATCTTCGTTTAAAGAAAATCACGGCTCCAAATAAAACATCAGGGAAAACGACATTTTTTTCTGCAGTATTCCCTCCTCTGTACAGTGAGCACAGCACACTTAGCTCATCTCATGGTAAAACTCACAGGCCACTGCAACATGTCCTTTAAGCCATTCAGTAAGTAAAACTTGAAAATGGATTGCTCTTTTTTTTTCCTGGGATTTGTGTTAATAATGAATTCATCGCCATTTATTTTTTAATTTAACAGGATATCATTACCTCTGAAGGTTTTTACTTCTCTTTTCCCAGAGGGTTAAAATGGCCCAGAAAGAGGTTGTCAAGACAGTAAAGGTGCAAAACACTCATTTCTAACACACGGTGGAAGCAATCATTTTTATTGAGGGAACCACCAGACTGAAATCTGCATCAAGCTTTACCAGGAAAAATTGAGAGGATTCCAAACAGTCATTCCATTCACAGTCTGCATTTCAATGGATTTAACTTTCTGCTCAGTTGGGGTCATGTATTTCAATCATAGGGTGCAGAACTATGACCTTGGCTGGGATCATCAGCTCCAGTTACTCAATGGGGCACTTGTGAAACATTGCGGGCTCATTCTGACTCTCCATGGGTGTGGCTAAAATTGCTCCCGTCCGGCCCTAAAGCTTACATGATCTGCTGTCCCTCAGAAACTCACTATGAGAAAACTCATGCTAAATTCACCACAGAGATCAGGGTTTACAGGACCCTTGGAGCTAATCTCTGCCTGCCATCCTCCTCTTCCCCTGTTAGCTGTTACAGCCTTCAAAAGTTAACAGGGTGATGAAGCCTCTCTCTGTACAATCATTTCATCTCACTATCGTTGACTGAAGCTCGCTGATGTAATGAAGTTACATAATCACCAATTATGCACGACTTCCATCCATCTTCCTTCATATCCACATATCTTCTCCCCTCCCCTTCAGATCAATCTACCAGGTGAGATTTATCACATGTAAATGCTCCATTCTCTCATCATAGGTACTGAATATGGGACTTTAGCATTGCAGTACAGTGCACTGAACCACGTCATCAATATTGATTTTTTTATCCCATTTCCCAGGCAGAATATGCTTAAGCATCCTTCGTGCTCTAGTCTCTAACTTTTTATTGAAAGGGTAAAATAGATATAGCAGATAGGACACATCCTCAACTTAAGGTTAAGGGAAGTGTGTAATTGCCTGCATTTCCAAAGCTGGCTGCATTGCAATAAAAGGATGGTCTCTGCTTCCAGACCTTCAACTCCCCTGCACGTGGGTCGCAGCTTCAGCTATATAGGGTACTGGGGGAATAATTATATTATTGGGCAAATAAACTTGAGAAAGAAAGCATTATGGTGATGTTGGAAATAATATTGCACTATGCTTCTCTATTTTAGTCATCATTTTCAGCTTTTTCTTTTCTTTTTAAATTCGGAATGGTAATCCAGTGGATAAAAAAGTAGCCCAGGGTACTTAATAACCTCCAGTAATCACAACCTAGAGAACAATTAACAATCATTATCACCTTAAAGTTTAAAAACTTGACAAGTGGGATGTCCCTGGTCCCATTGCGGCTGTGAAATGCAGCAGAATGCTGCACTGAGTTGAAAGCATATTTCTTTTAATGAATAAAGAGTAGCTCGTTTCATTTTAAATAGGGCTCTTCAGTAAGTGTTTCTTTCACGGCTGCTACCCCTTCCAGAACACAGGAGCCACAAATATTGCATCCAAACAAAGAGTGTCTACCCAGAATTAATTCAAGATACTCTTCCATATCAAAATAATTGAAGGGGGGAGTGATACTTTGATTTATTTTCAATTACACTCAAAATACAGACCGACACACACACACACACACGCACACGCACACACACCAACACACCCAACTGCAGTTATTCCATTCAGTGCCAGTAACGGCCACATCACAGCCATCAATGCGATGCAGCAATCATCCAAGTCACCCATTCCCATTACAAACGCCCAAGTTCGCTCACACCACTGAGGGGTTTGCATATATAAAATGACCTTACCCACAAGAGTCTTCCAAATTATTCTTCTCTGGATATCAGTCAGTAAGGTAATTGCTGGTCATCACAATGCGTATTCAGAAAAATCCACGTTTTACTCCTGTGTTCTTTTTCTTATTTTTGCTAGCAATTAATATCGTGAACAAGATACCCATTCACAAATGCCAAGTTCACCATAAAAGCAGATAATTCCATACAGCTCTTCCCTGCAAGACTGCCTCCAGTTAGTTCTCAAAGTGCCCGATTGTTTGGTGAAGATACAATCCAGGTGCAGAGCAGGGAAAAAAGAAAAAAAGAAAACTAGGAGAAAAAAGGAAGAGGCAGATAGAAAAGGAGAGACTAAGAGAGGAGAGGGCAGAAAAAGAGGGAAGAAATTTTTTAAAAAGAAGGAAGGAAAAAGGCCGGTAAGTGAGGAAGTCTGTGAGCTCTATGACAAGAATCGGAGTCTTGCTTGCAAATCTTCTGTATACATGTAGCCTTTCAGATTCTCTTGGTCCCCAAGTAAAATTTCCAGATCCGGGATGCAGCCATAAGAAAGAATCCTATGTATATTTCACAAGTATCCCGCAATAACAGATCCGACGGGGTTTTCCTTGTACAGTACTGCTATGTGAAAGCACACAACCCCTGCTGTTTGAGAAGGTGTCTCCTGGGTCCTAGCTCTCTTCAGCAGCCCCCAAAAATGATTTTTCAAAAAAGAGTGGAGGAAAAAAAGCAGCTTTGCGTTTTCCTTGAATGATGTTAATCCTGAGCGAAAACGACAAGCAAACCACGGCTAGCACGAGATCTTGATTAATAGCCACAATCCACTCAAAATATCCCAGGGAAGAAGGAGCGAAAACAAGAAAGAGAAACTGCAATGCATAAATGATTCCAGTGTTTCTACAAGATCGGTTCATTTGATTGAATGCATTTTCTGGTTTGCTGCAAGTCATAAAGAGGATAGTGTTACTGCCACCCAATGGATATTTTAGTACTAGCCAATCCACAGAACGCCACCGCTTTCCGAGTTTTAGTTTTCAGGAGACTGAAGGAGTGTAGCCTGGGAATCTTTTGGAAAGGACCCTGAGAGGCCTCCTATAATGGGAATCTGTCCTTCCCAAGCAAAAGTGGACTGGCAACTGTGGACGCTTAGCCAGTCTTGCGTTAGTCACCTTAGACTTATGGTTCCATTTCTCTAGGAAGCAGAAAGGTGCAGAGAGCGATGCCTAAACTGACACGCTCATAATAACCTCCTTTTCATCTCTTCTCTTTAGAGCCGATTTGTTATTGCGAGCGATCTCTCTCCCTCCTTCCCTCCCTAACTATCTCTACTACTACTACTAGTACGTACGTACTACTCGTACGTACTACTAGTACGTACG